CTCTCTCTCTCTCTCTCTCTCTCAGCTACTTGCTTGATATCAAAGAATGAGTCTGTTCTTCTCTTTTGTTTCCTTGAAATTAAATTTGCGTTCTTACACAAATTATGTACACAAGAAAACAAAACATAACAATTATCTATCAAAGGTAAAGCTCACTTCTGAAATGATTTTAAACAACAAGAAAAATTTTTTAATATAAGTGTAACTAGGCCCCAATTTACACAATTTAGGAGGCTGAACTCGGGTCTTCTGAGTGCAACAGCAAAGCATCTAAATGGTATATCATAGATACCAGTTTAAAACATAAAGATTCAAGAAATATTAACCCTTCCAGCCCCTGCCATTTTTCTGCATTCCCTAACCCCAGTCCCAGCCAATACAGCAGTATTTCATAAAAAGGGGCATGCATTCTAAAAAGTGATGTAGTATCTTTGTAATGAGGTTTAGATAATAACATATAACAAAGTTTAAAGGTAAATCAACAAATATTCTGAAAATTAAAGTTTAATCAGGTTTTCTCATTTTGAAAAAAGGAGCAAATTCAGTTTCCCTCAAAATTGAGAATATAATAATGCTATTGGGATGGTTGGAGGTACAAGCACTGCTGAAAATATACACGCACACGGCTGAAAGGGTTAATATAATTTCCAAATTCACTCACTAATTCATCCAGCCTTTTTAAAACTATTAAAACAAAATAGAACTCTAAGAAACAAGCACTAACCAGAAGTACGGCCTGAGACATTTGTGAGTAGAACAACCTCTCAAATTCTGGTTTATAATGTGGCTGAAAAAGAGAATGTATGTCAACTTTCTAACATTACATTATCACTTGAAAATAACAATATGTCTCCAGTACTACACCAATGAAAAAACATGATTGCAACAGGCAAAGTCAGCACCTCACAATAACACTTTAACTTAAACGTAAAGAACAGGAAAAGGCGGGTGGAGGGGGGAGAGGAAGGAAGGACCAAAAGATAAGCACGATACATTAACACTTTCCACCCACGCAACACGCAGAGCGCGCAGCATTTATCCCCACGGACCAGGATACAGGTGCATTACATGCTATATCACACTGGCGCCGATCGGCTTCCCGTGGGAAAAAGGGACGGCTTCTTACCGTCGCCAATTAGCGTCCCGTGGGGGCAAATCGTTAAGTACAAGAAACTGCACTTCAAAATTTCATGAAAATGAAAAGGAAATAAAGCTACAAAAGGTCAGAATTTCTAGAGTCAATTTTCTTAATGTATTGTATAATAATAATAATAGATTGCATTTATATAGCGCTCTATCCCATACTAGAAAAGGCTCTGAGCGCTTTACACCAATCACATAATCATTCACACATGAAAAAATATTTCACAGAAGCAAGAAAAACCAGTTTAACCACATAAAGAAGAAATTTCCCAACCATACATTAACTATACACGAAAGGACAGTGGGGAAAAAAAAATGTCATATTATATATGTACATGGTATCATGTATATTTTAAAAATCAGAACTTACTAACACACTATAACTAACAATTGAACAAATGAATCTTGAGCAATCGTATAACACCTGTTCTCTTTTGGACATTAACTCGTCTTAAACCAAAATAAAACCAAAAAAAGTCTTGTTCCAACCTTTCTGTTCAGTAAAACTGAAGCTTTCACAACTTTGTCAAAAATCTCAGAAGCTGACAAACCACCTGGCAAAGGTGTCAGTTCTGAAGGATCATAGCCAGGATATTGGTGAAGCTGAAAAAATCAGATGACATTTGTTTATATTGTTAATGATGCTTGCAAACTGGTTCCCATACTAATCTGTCTTATACTAACCGATCAGAGAGGTAAGTAGATTAGTTTGTGGGGATCATTCTTTCCTCCTGCATTTTTCAAAATGAAAAAGAGAAAGTGAAGTAACTAATATTAAATTTACTGAACTTCAAAAACATTGTAAGGGTGAAAAAGTTTTAATATCATAATTGTATTTCACATAAACTTTGATAGGAAGCAAAAACTGGCCATATACAAAACATATGAAGATTCTAAAGAGAAGCTTGTCATTGATTAAAAGACCTCATGACAGTAAAAACACTATAGAAAAGACAGGCATGTGGCAAAAATACTCACCCGACTGCCTGACAAATTTTTTTACTTCGTTTTAAAATATTTTTTTGAAAAACTGTGGAAACTCAAGATAAAGACAGAAGCAAACGGATTTCTTACCTGAAACCCTTATCATTTAACTGAATATTCACCAAATCACCCCCCAAAAAAAACACTCTAACATCAAGTGCAATTTTTTTGTTAGGATATAAAAAAACATGTTTGATCTACCCCAAAAAAATGGACAAGAATTTATTTTGATAAGCTAAGAAAAACTGATCAAATTGTCTCTTTTCACTTTCACATAGCCCCTCCAAAAAGAAATAATCAACATTTCCAGTCAGATATGCTCAGTGCCATGTATACTGACTGTTGCGGAAGCTGACGGCTACAAATGGCCGGTGTAGTCTAATGAACTAAACTTCTATTTCTCTCACCTCAACAAACTTGGGTTTGCTCCCATCACCTTTCTTTGCAACCTGAAAAATCATATTAAAGAAAGTTTCTTTGGGTCTGTTCGGATTTATGAGTAATTTCAGTCTTCATAAGTAATGAGAAGGAAAGGTCACAATTCCTCTGAAATAAAGCATTTAATGAACTAAACATAATCGTCTGTACATACTAAATATACAAATAGAATACAGGATTGTACTTTCAATGTTTAACCATTCGGGGGGGGGGGGGGGGGGGGTGTTGAATGTGAGTGCATTGTGTGTATGTTGGGAGGGGGGGGGTTGATTAAAAAATGCATGACAATTTCATAAGTTTTTATTTTTATCTCAATTAACTCTTATCCTGCGTCTGTGCCCAGATGTGTATCTTATCAGCAACCGATTACGTCGGACGTGCCGGGCAGGCCGCCGGGGTCACTCAGTGTGTACTGTTGGTGTACAGCGCGCGCGCCGGGAAACGTGTGTTTTCGCCATGAATACCGCGGGAGTGTGTTAACCGATGATGAAAATAACGCTCTATCCTTCATAGCTTTCTATTTATAAAGTGTTACAAACACATGAATAACCCCCTCTCACAAGCTGATAAGACATTACGAGTAGTTACGCCCATTCAAATAACCTTTCTGGACGCTCTTGTTGTTATGAATGACCTGAGGTTCGAAAGGGGATAATTTATGTCAATTTCCGAATGTTTTACACTCAAATTGTTTTTTGTACCTGCACAATGGTATTCAAAACTATCAAACAAGCTTATTTTTTATCTAGTAGTATCATTTCATACAAAATCAAGCTCATTTGAAAGATTTTGTATAGAAAAATAGAAGTCTTGTTTCTTGACTATCCTTTCGAGCTCCTCATGTCTAAGTGGGTCAATTTCTTCTATAATTTCATTGGACGAACATCTAGAGCTACCAACTTGGCATGTTTTGAATGAGACGTATGCCTCGATTACGAACCAACGCAGGCGATTCTAGAAAAAGGCCACAAACGCACACAAACTCAAGCAGACTGACGCCCACACACTTGACCTGCGTGAATGGGGATCCGACTCAGGACCCGAATGACACGTAAGAGGATGCGCGCTGCGCGTGCGCTGAGCCAGGAGCTACACTGATTCGGGACCACAACGTAGGCGAGGTGCCGAAATAGGCTTATCGGGCTACATAAACCCGGCTCCCGCAGGATGAGGGTTAACAGATGAATAGAAAATGTATATAAAAGAAAAAAATTATCATTCTATTAGCGCAAAATATAAAGATTAACAAAAACAACAAAATCATTGAAAAGTTTGTAAAGACTTACAGGAGCTTTAGCTTTCTTTGGCTTCATACTGATTTTGGAAATGTTCTTGACTCTTGTACTCAAATTAGGCACAAAAGCTGTAAGAAAAAACAATCAGATATCAGAATTTACACATTAATGAGTGGGATTTCTTCAGAAAACAGAAACTTACTACCAGAAAAAAAATGTCTTTTCTTTTTACTTTAAATCAGTATGACTCTTATCCTGTGACATTTGCTATGAGGCACTTTACTCTTTGTGGCAAATGAAGTCATTTTATAACATGCGCGCATTTCTTTTCATAACTGTTACTAGTTAGCCTTCTAAAGAAAAGGATGGTCTGTTCCAAGACTTCTTCAACTTGTTATGAAAAACTCTTTAAAAGAAAGGAAATGGCAGCTGCTGAATACCTCTTAATTGGCTTTACACTTAGAATGAAATTCTAAACTGGACAAGTTAATGAAGACTTTTTTCAATCTAAAGCACAATTCTATTCTTTTAATCCTCAAAGTCTCAGCATATTTCATTGATAGCAGTTGAATACACCATTTACTCATTGCAAATGTGTAATTAAATTGTCGCATCTAAAACAATATTCTGAATAGTTAAGCCAAAGAATTTTTTCAATCCTTTCATGATGGTTCAAAGACCAAAACACTTACTTGATTTCAGCGTGTACACACCAGCAAACTTGCATACTTCTTTCGTTTCTTTCTCTGTTTGTGACAAACACAAAAAAAAACAACAGGTAAAGATCATTAATTAATTTTTCTTTCCCTCTTATGAACTCCTTCTCTACTTCCATTCAATGCGCTTTCTTTTATCTTTTGTTTCTATTTCTCCATTTGTGAGCTCCGTGTTTCTATTTTAAATTGTTTTCCTATCATCTTTGTCTACGAGTCTGTTTAACAAACTGTCCGTCCAATTCTCAATTTCCCTCTCTTTTTCTTCAGAGTCTTTTTGTCTGCAGCTTACATACATACACACACACACATACAAACACACACACAACACACACAACACACACATAGACACATATACACAAACATACACACAATACGTACGTACGTACGTACGTACATACATACGTACATACATACGTACATACGTACGTACATACATACGTACATACATACATACATACATACATACACA